TGCAATTGCTTTGATATTACATATATAGGTACTACATGTGGACCTCTCTCAGATTTGTTCATTTTGTAATGATATCTTCAATTCTCTAATTTTGGTGAATATTTTTGTAATTTTTGGTAAAAAGTGATATTTTCGACTTCTTGTTGAAAACCGCAAGTCCAATTGCTTTGATATTACATATATAGGTACTACATGTGGACCTCTCTCAGATTTGTTCATTTTGTAATGATATCTTTAATTCTCTAATTTCGGTGAATATTTTTGTAATTTTTGGTAAAAAGTGATATTTTCGACTTCTTGTTGAAAACCGCAAGTCCAATTGCTTTGATATTACATATATAGGTACTACATGTGGACCTCTCTCAGATTTGTTCATTTCGTAATGATATCTTTAATTCTCTAATTTTGATGAATATTTTTGCAATTTTTGGTAAAAAGTGATATTTTCGACTTCTTGTTGAAAACCGCAAGTGCAATTGCTTTGATATATTATACATATAGGTACTACATGTGGACCTCTCTCAGATTTGTTCATTTTCTAATGATATCTTCTGTTCTTTAATTGCCATGTGCATTGCTAACAGCGGAGTTATCTCAGCCGTCAGGCTGCTTGTTATTTATGTACAGCCTTGCTAAATCTTGCTAAGCATTCAAAAGAGAGAATGTTTGCATCTGTTATCTATATTTTAAAATCGTTTTTTGAGTATGTTACACTGTTCACAATTCTACAAAATTTCAACAGTCTATAGCCACGACTGTTTGGATAATAAAAAGCAAAAAAGAAAATTTCACCACCAAGTGCCCACGAACCTGCATCTCCACCTTAAATATTTGTTACTGGTAAATGAAAGAAAAATAATGTTTTAAAACATTGAGTAATATGTTGGACAATGAAAAACAATTTGCCCAATATACATAATAAAAACAATATTTGTTCTCTTAGAAGTGCAACTGCAATGGTAGCGCATTTAAACCAACAGTCACATTAGTTGTATACCACCATTAAAATATTTGGATCATAGATACATCTTTGTAATTTACATACGATCATATGATACGAATGGTACAGAGCAAACGCAGTATGCCAAAGCCAAATATCGAATAAATAAAACTTATTTCTGAGGTATATTCTTGTTTTTCTGCAGGTATTTGGGGATTTGTGTTTCTGAGTTTGCTGCTCATTCCATTTTACTACATCCCTGCGGGTCAACTGAGTACGTTACCCGAACACCGCTTGGAAGACGCAATCGATGCCTTTTATCAGATGTCCAATAATCCACAGTTGATCTTAGCGGTGCTCGGCAACATGGTTAGCATCGCATTCTTCAACTTTGCTGGAATCAGCGTGACGAAAGAAATGAGTGCCACCACGCGTATGGTACTTGACAGCGTCCGGACGCTGGTTATTTGGGTCTTCACAATTGCAGTTGGATGGGAATCATTCCTACCATTGAAAATCCTTGGATTTGTTCTGTTACTCAATGGACAGTGTATTTACAATCAAATTATCTGCGCACCATTATTACGGAAAAAAGGCATTTGCTTGCGTTTTGTTGACCCGACAGGGGAAGCCGGGAGGCAACCACTTATAATTCAAGGAGATGATGTTGATGATGATGATGATGTTCATATCAAACATTCAGTAAATGCGTAAAGTTATCATGACCATGTTTTTCTGTTTTTTTCAAGATTTTTATAAAACGCATGTATTTGAGAAAAAGTTTCCTCTCTTCAAAAAACAAAAATAATTTACATGTATTCATTGAAATAAGGCTGAAAACTTTTTCACATTCTGAACAAAATACGTAATGTTTCATTTTTTTGTATTTTAATTTCAGGCAAGTGCCTATGAGAGAAATCCCATCTTATTTGTAATAGTTATCCTTGAACATGTTATGAAGCTGTGCTTCTGTTAATTATGAAATTGTTTTAGCATTGGTGGCTAGTATTACAATGTATATTGTTTTTTTTGGACAGTTATTGTACAAACTTGCAAAATATCATTATCAAAAGTAATGATATGTGTCCCGATTCATGTAACAAGCTGAAATAATTTATCTTTCTGTGGTTGATGACTTATGTTTAAAGGGTGGTGGTCCTTGCGCCACATTCTGCTCGATGTGGGATGTGCGACGTACACAACCCGTGTAAATACATTGTTTGTTTACATGAAATTTGAGCATGCACTGCGCAAAGACCACCACCCTTTAAGTGATGAAGTTTCTTCAAAATTTTTCAAATGTAATTTGCCAGTAAAACGTTAGCGGAAGTGACGTTTACCATATAGTGGTTATTTTTCAAATGTGTTCAAATGTTGAAATGATCCGGGTATTTTCATAAAAACTCTTTGTGAATATACTGATAGCAGGTCATACGTGTATGCAAAACATATGTAATGTATATTTTAAAAAATAAAAACAGAGGGCCATGGAGCTATTTCTAATTTGTTTGGTTCTTGTGCATTGTTGGATCACCCTCAAAGCAATCCGACATAATACAAGCAAAATCTAAACTTTCATCCATGGCTGTGTCTTGATGATTTCACTATTTGTTTTTGTGAGTCACTGAAAATTTATTGCGAAATTATGTAGCAGTGCTAGTTTCACAGGGGCCTTGAAGTCTCTGCCACTTTTGAATTTAGTTATCTTCACAAGTACGATCAAATGGTTTACAGTATGTCTTGAATTTCCACCAAATGAAATTATTTTCAAATTACACAATACTCAATTTTCTTTTTCACAACAATGTAAATATTTAAAAATATTGTCTTCATTACTAAGTAATTTTACAATATGGTTAAAAAATATTGTTTTTAAACATATTTATTCCCCCCCCCGAGTGTCAACCAAGAATAAGATACATGTTTGTATATGTTTAATTGAGTTACTTTCTTTTTTAATTTTTTTTTTAATTTAATTTTCTAATTTAATAGCATTTATTTATATTTTAGTACCTTTTACATCCTGAATGTTTTTATCTGACCAGTGACTCAAATCGAAAATTTTATTCAATTTTCGTAAAATCAGCATTATTATTATGTGCTGAATAAAGTCATGAACATCCTGTCAGTGAGATGTTCTGTGATTGGTCAAGACATTTGTAATGATGAGATTGTTGTTATGGTGATAAAAAATAGTTCCGCAAATGACCTTGCGTATTGTTACGTTTACACATCAGCATTTAATTGGAGCCGAACTACTGCTCCTTCTAAACAGATATTAGGGCACGTACCTCTCCATCAAACCAGAAATTACAAATGACGTTGTATTCGTTATATTTGAAATGAGAGATTACTTGAAGAAGACGACTGAGGGAGAGTTTTCGTCCCTGATTGCGTTTGCACCGTGGGAGCCATGTCAGGGCCCACTTCCAATCAGAGCTCAACCCTGAGGAGCCGGAGTCAAACACAATCAGTTCAATGCGTATACACAGACATTTTAGCTGGCTTAAGATGTAGGGCTCCAATAAAATGCTGTTGTGTAAACACAGTATGTAAATATAAACAAACAATACACTATCTTATTATAATTCGATTGAGTTGGCTGATGAGTTGTATTGCTTGTTCAATATTGAACTGTTGAGTATATCCAGCCGCCCTATTCTATTGTTTATGCCCCCTCTAGATGTGTCTTTAAGAAAGGCATATGCCATTAATATACAAGGAATGCCAGTGGGGAGGGTTAGAGTTAGTGGGGGTACATAAGTAACTGTTTTTCCTTTTTTACTCAGAATAAAGATATTTTTGACGTTATGCTTCATTTTTGTCATCATTCCACCACTGATAGCATAGAATCAATACATACTCCATATAATGACAACGCTCTCGGTACTGTAAAAGCATTAATTTTTCAGTTTTTTAATTTCGCCAAATTAAATGCACATTAACATGTAAAATAACAAAAGAACGTATCTTTTTCCTGCAAAGTACTTGAAACTCAGTGAAATTGCTCAAAACATCGAAATCATGAGTATCAGCCATATGTAAATGTTTCAAGTGGCCTTACTGCAGAAAAAAGTAAAATACGTTTTAATTTGTCAATCATTTTTCAAATGAGATGCGGTCGAGGTATGTCACATTTGCCACTGAAACCGCATTCGTAAAAGCAAAGTGGCCATCTGTCAGCCAATTAGAATCTGATCTGGTGACCAAATTATATGCACGAGGGTCTGATGTTCAATGTGCCAAATTTGAATAAAATGTGTAAATGTACAAGTACGGTCAGTCATGAAATTATAGTCCTCATTTTCGGACTATTAAATGAATGTCCTACTACTAGTATACAGGGACTATACATTGTATTTACTGGCATGTCACTTAAATTCCTTCTCTTGGATCACTGGATCTTATTTAACTGGACTCAATTATTACAACACAAGAACTCATTGTCAAGTTGAGAGCACATCAAACATCCCATAATCCTTGGTTACCAGTAGTGATATTGATTATAGCACATGATGGTATGTTCAGAATTCGACATGAATACCGAAATATATCACTATTTTTGAGTTTCATATTCACCTAATACTATAGCCAAATAGAATTTCAAGGAATTACTTATAAGACAAAGTCCCTGTAAAATAGTACCGGTAAACAAAGCTGGAATCAGTATAAAACTTTTAATAGATTGTAAGCAAAACCGTTTCATGGCAACAGGGAATTACAGTATATGTATTCACATAACAGACATGTGAATTTTAGTTCATACTCATCCTCAGAAAGAAAACATGGCCATATGGCTTGGATACTTTCCAGTACATTTCCTTTGAATATTGCTAATTTCATAACTTCAACTTGAGGGAATATTTTTGGTTAAAAAGGCCATTTTCAACTTCTTGAAATTGTCTTGTTCAACTGACTTTTATTTGACATATCATTTATTCACTTTGTGAAGATAATTTCAATTTTAAAATTAAGAAAAGTTTTTGTTGCAAAATGCTATTTATTTTCAGCTTTTTGAAAACGACAAGTCTGATTGCTTTGATATTAATTTAAGAATGGCACTTTTTTTTTTTTAAGCCCCAAGTTTTGATGTACCATTTTACAGCCGCGACCAGACAACTGCCAAGCTCCATTCCCCCCCCCCCCCCATGTTGAAAAAAAAACAAAAAACATTAATTTGTTACTAAACTTTCATCTCAAATTTTATTCATCTTGCTCTATGGTACACATAATACATAATAAATCAAAGGGTGGTGAACTGATAGATTTCAATAAATATGTGCTCGTTATGTTTCTCACTTTAAAAGTCACAAACTATTGGCACCTCTTATGACAGCTTTTTCAAGACTGTAGACTCCATGCCACAAAAAATATAAATCAGAAGAACCACCAAACTGGCAAGTGCTATTGCTTTAAACAATTTCGGTGCTCATTTCATAAACAAATAAAACTTGTCAATTACATATATGCATGTCATGTACATTATAGTTGTATGCTTACTATGGAAGCCTAATCATGTACTAGACTCTGATGCATCTACTTCATAGTGTGCACTTCCTAGTAGTAAATCTCTTGTCATGATCTCTACTCCGTTTAAAAGTACACTTTCATATTTGAATTCTATGAGAGGCCTGTTGCCAATTTATTCCAATTTGTTGATACACACAATACTGAACCCAAATGACCTTATTACCTCCATGTTGCAACTAATGGGGTGCAAAAAATAAGCACCTGTGAACAGCACCCTCTACAGTTGAAAAACTACTGTAGAATACTTTATTTTCGCTTGGAATTTATTTTCGCTATTTTCGCTGAAGGGATGATTCCGTGAAAATAAAATCCAGCGAATATACTTTTTTTCCTATATTTCACATTAATCTCATCAAAAATCAGTGAAAATAAATTCCAACCAAAAAGGCCCAAAAAGCCTTTTCAGCGAAAATTAATTCCAGCGAAAATAAAATATTCCACAGTAATTCATTTTGGCTCAGTAAACAAGAATTACTGTATTAGATTTACTAGTTGTATATGTGGTTACATAAATTGTGGAAGTGCATCTACTGGTATGTCGAAATAAGTTAATTTAATGATTCAGAATAAAACAAATGCAATAATTGCTTTATAATAAACAAATACAGTATACATGTAGGAATAAAATTGAAAACAAAAAACAGATTATGATATGGGGCGTGTGAACAGCATCACAAAACACTAACAAAAGATGTATACAAGGCCACTTGTATATTATGGAATATACATTGCATGACTTGGTGAATGCAAAGCATTATGGGTAACCAAAGAAATACAAAATGCACCATGTGGACCATGTACATAAAATGCTTTGTTGCGCGACTCTGAATGCATATATGTAATTGACTCAATGTATTGTGAACCATCACATGCATTTAGGCCAAAAAAAACAGTGTTTCTGGTAACATTGAAAACAACATGCCAAAGGTGGTAAGTGTAAGTCTTTACTCAGTCACATTTTTTTTTATCTTAATTAAGTTTGCCACTGGGCTTGGAGAGGTTCATGCTTTTAATACGGGAGAATTTTACAATTTGTAATACAAGAATAATGTACATGATCAGACAGTTTTATTTGAAAAATTTGTGCAGCTAAGATTAGGATGAGCATGCAAAAACTACACAAGGTCGGGTTAGTTATCTGACCTCATGAACACGCACACAATCTACACAATTATTTCCATTCCAGGTATCAGTGTACTCTTATTTTTAAGATCTAGCATTGATGATCTCGCAAAAGTCTGGTTTCAATGAAGCTCCACCAACCAGGAAACCATCCACGTCAGGCTTGCCTGCTAGTTCTTTACAGTTCTTAGGTGTAACAGAACCTGAAACGAGAAATTGAATGATAGTACCAAAGTTGAAAACTTTGACAGAAGAAGTTTTAAAGTTAAAAGATCGCTGTGAATCAAAATGTATTAGAGAAATTGGGAATTAACTATGATAGATGAGCAGTTGAATCTAAGCTTATACACAGAAGGCAGAATTCGATACATTGAGAAAAACTGTCTACAAAAAAGCTGCTCTCTGATTGGTCTGACTGTTAGGTGTTAGGTAGCCAATCAGGAACAATCTTGTAAGGAACTTTGCATTAATTCTGAATGAAAGGCAAATATGAGTGAACAGAAACACCAAGTGTCGCACGTTAATGAGAGCCTCAATTTTTGTAATTATATGAATTTAAAATAAAACCTTGCTACATGTATGAGTGTAGTCTGAAAACCAGCCATTTACACAGTACACCTA